CCCAGCCAGTGCCCCCCCGCATGCAGCCCCCTGTGCTGGCCCTGCACCCCCAGGCGCTCTGACCAGCGCCTCGCGGGCACCTTGCACCCCTCTGTGAACAGCTGCTACCGAAACCCCGCTGCACCGCCGCGCTCCATCTCCTGCACCACAAGGCAGTGCCAGCAGACAGGCGAAGGGGTGTGCGTCACCCCCAGGAGAGTCAGCCGGAAAGGAGGGGGATCTGCTGCCAGAGCAGAGCGAGCTGGGATGGGACCAGGGCCCGGGGAAAGCCTGGCTGGACCGGCCAGCAGCGTGACCCACCACGAGCAGCGCAATGGCCAGCGCGGTGAGGGGCTGCCAGCCCACGCTCCTCACACTGCAAGGAGCAAGGCAGCCGGAGCTTTTCACATTCCTCTCTGTGCGGCATTTCTCCAGCCCTCCAACAACATCTGTGGCTCCCTGAATACCCGAGGGAGATGTGGTATTGCTGCACCAGCCCCATCAGCAAACAATGGTGAAAACACTTCTCTGTGAACTGCTTTCCCATGTACTATTCCCATTTACCCTGTCAGGGACCACTTTAACCCCACGGGTGCCACGGCAGCCCAGGAACAGCATTTCTGCGCGGGTGGTGTCAGCCCTGCGCCAGGCTGGGCTTGCCACGCTTTCGACAGCAAAGCTCTGATGGGTCGCCCGGCAGCGCTGGCACGGCGACCCGCCTGCCTCCCACCACCGCAGCCTCCCCTCACCCTCCCAGCCAGCCCCTTCCACAGGAGGAAAGCACACCCACAAACCTGGGAGCCCCCAAGACAGACCCACCACAAATATGCCTCTGTGCCCTATGTCCCCCACCTTGGGCACTGATCCTGCATGCCGCACCCACACAGCTTGCGCTTGTCATTAGGCAACGCTAAAAAGAATAATGTTTGGCTGGCGAACAAGTAGGGGTGATTTAAGACTCTAGTGTTTAGTTACAGGGTTACGGAGGAAGGAAAACACGCAAACCCCACACAGGGTCCTGGTACAGGGCTGTGCCGCAGGGACACTTCTCGCAGACCCTCCCCACAGAGCCAGTGGACGCCCTTCGGCAGCACACTTCCCTGCGAGCCTTCATCCCCGCTCCCTCACAGCTCACTGCCTACGTGCCCCTTTGGTGGGGCTGCCAAGGCGTACCGGGGCATCCTCAGGGACCGCGGCTGCCCCTCAGGTGCCACGCTGTAGAAGCCCCTTTCCCCGGACTAAGGCCTGGCTGCATGTTGCCCCCT